CGGCTCACAGTGTGTGATCAAGTTCAGCTGTTACCTGTCATGAGTCACAACCACGCTTCTGGCAGACAAAGTGGGAGCTGGGGGGCGGGGAGGGGGAAATAGCTGAACCGCTATCCCAACCACACTGCAATTTCTTGATTAGTAGACTTTACACGTTCTCCACAGGCTTCCTTCTACATCATCACGAAACAGCTAAGAGGTGGGTTTAGCTGCCTCTGCAGAATGAACTTGAGGGGCAGGGGAGCGGCTGCTTTTATAGAATCTTTCAGTTTATGTGTGGGTACTGCAAGACTATGAGTAATAATATTATAGGACCGAGAAAAAAGGGAAGCATGGTGACAGCTCATCTCATGGCAAGAAACAAAAGGGCCGGACTTGAACACGAACGATGAGCAGGTGAGACCTTCTTCCCCGATCACTTACTTTTTGATTAGCTTGGAGAGACGTTTCCTGTTGAAGGGAGGGGTGTTCTTCCTGTTGGTTATTTCCAGGAGTCGGTCGGCAACTGCCTTGTAGTCAAACTACGTGAGAAGAAAAGCTAAACATCAGGCCGAAGCACAGCGCTGCCTGACGTGGAAATCACATCGACCCGAGACAGGAAAGCCAGAGCTCGGGGCTCTAAAAGCATCCCCGACGGGACGGTGCACACGGCACGCCTCAGGCCTGCCAGCCAGAAGCTAAGCGCTGCCCTTGAAAACCTCCTTCTCTGTTCTCAGAAGAAGCTGGTCTGTATTTGTTCTATTTCTTCTTTCTGAAAATTCAGTTGGGTATGCTATGCTGTTCTGTAAATTGAATCTAGATGTTCCATTTGTACTTGGTATCGTAGTAAGCCTCCTTTATTTGAAAAGTACCACTGGGCTCCCTTTGTTGGATGGAACAGAGCAGATCTTAGTAATTCAGGCCAAAACGAAGACTGACATCTTTCAAACTGCCATCATACTTCAATCTCTTTGTCTCCAATAAGCTCATTACAAGAAAGGCACCAGTGACTGAGGGATTAAAGAAAACCTTACGCATTAGGCGTGTGGTTTAATCACCTCTGACCCTAACTCCCCAGCAGCCAGGCGGCTCCACAGCAAACCCATATTCTACAAAAAGCGACACCTGCTACCAACCTGGAGAAGCAGCCCGGCGTCCTCCACGCCTCCGCCGCCGCCCCGTCTGCCTTCCTCAGCGACTCCCTCTTTTCTGCAGTGATATCTGCCCAGTGCTATCAAGGAACACATCCACAGACACAACTCAAATACATGGCCATGGCTACCCCCAAAGGAGCCACCCACCATCCAATTAGGTGCCTCTTAGTGAAAAACAACATTTCTTTTTCTTTTCTTTAAAAAAAAAATTATTTATTTATTTATTTGGCTGCGCCAGGTCTTAGCTGAGGCACTTGGGATCTAGCTCCCCGACCAGGGATGGAACCTGGGGCCCCTGCATTGGGAGCTCGGAGCCTTATCCACTGGACCACCAGGGAAGTCCCAAAAAGAACATTTCTTTACAGACAAAACCCTGCAAGTACATTTATAAAATCTCCCAAAGATGTTTTGGATTTTTAGTCCTGGGACATTAAAAAAAAAAAAACAAAAAACACCTGGGAGAAATCACACATTTTTGCCTTTTAATTACCTCGTAGACAAAACCCCACTGTGGAGTGCAGTGGAGGTGGACAGGAAACCTGTGGGCCGGGGCTCAGGCCAGTGGGAGCAGGGCAGACAGGGTCTGTCCCCGGTCTCAGGAAAGCTGAGGCCGTGGTGAACGCTCCATAGTAGCACACTGACTCTCAGGGGGCCGCCTCAGGAAACACAACGGGCTGCTGTTGACGTGACTCTGGCATTTAGGAAATAATCCGAAGAGCATTATAGCTCATGGAGAAGCAGGTAGAAATCACTATTGGAATCACACAAGCTCTCACAGGTGTCCCGTCTCTGGAATCCTACCAGCTCCTGAGCGGTGTGGCCTCAGGGCAGAGCCCGGGGAAGACTTGGCGGGCCCCACAAACATCTGATGAAGAACGGGGGGGGGGGGAATCTTGGGAAGCGCTCAGGGAAGAGGGGGAACGGCTCTAGTTCAGACACGGACGTGGCAGAAGGAGAGGGCCAGGGCCAAGTCAAAACGTGCTCAAGGCCATTCAGTGAGTTGTCACTCATGCTGAGCTTACAATCAGAATATCTTATCTTTTCTCTTTCAAAGATTTGTCTTTTCCTGACTAAACAATATATGATCATTGAAGAAAACTTAGAAAAAACAGACAAAAGTACAAAGAAAATAGAAATCACCCACAATTTTGCCACGCAGGGCTAGCTCTTACCGCCTTGGTGTATATCCTTCCAGATGCATACGTACGTGTTTATATGCATATGTCTAAATATACAAATCAGGCACCTTCTACACAGAGGTTTTTGGTCCTGCTATAAAAAATTTTTTAAAATTATATTTTCTCTATTAGTTTTTGAAAACTTTCCTTTTCAGTGGCTCTAGAACATTCCAAAAGCATGGGTACAACCTGAACTAGCCCTTTACCTGACACCGTGGCACCAAGATGCTGAAAACCAGCGTGAGTTCTGATGAGGCCGCATTTTAAATGCCCCACGCAATTCCCACGGACACAAACAGCGCTGAGAACAGGGTCCATCCACAGTGGTTATTTATACACCCGAAGAAAAAGAACCCTGGAGGAACTCGGAGACAGAAAGGAGAGCTGCAGAAACAACCATGCGTTCCCAGTGCAACAGTAAATCAGGTCTCCCGTCAGGGACCCTCTTACAGACACAAGACCACATTAAGATTTTTAAACACATCAAAAAAGCCGAAGGAACTCCCTGGCAGTCAAGTGGTTAAGACTGGTTAAGACTCAGTGGTTTCACTGCCGAGGGCCTGGGTTCAATCCTGTTCTGGGAACGAAGATCCCACAAGCCTTGCTACGCAGCCAAAAAAAACAAAAAAAAGCTGAAACAACAAAAACACACAAAACCCAAAGCAACGGCAACGAAAATGACAAAACCCTCAAAGAAAGCCCTGCGACCCTGGGAACTGCAGAACTGTGCATGAGCCCCAGTGTAACCAGGGGCCCTGGACCCGAGTGTGTAAACACAGCCCCACTTCCTTTCTCAGGTGGGGGCCAAGGCAGAGGCACCTCTGATGAATTCCAGGGTGTAGTCAGTGAGCTGGCAACAAATGTATTAAAAAGTGTTCCTCTGAGTGAACCTTACCTAAGAAAGACTCTTCAAGTAAATTCTGTTACCTGTTTTCTTTCTACTGATTGCTTTTCTCCACGTCATCTCATTTCCAGACGTCTCTTCCTCAGAGAGGTCACTGTCACCCACTTTGGTTTTCTGTTCCTCGACCGTCTCTTCAGGTGCAAAAGGAGACTGATCTACAATGACTTCAAAAACACCCCTAGCTATAGTCTGTACCAGAGTCTGGCTGAGGGCGGAAGCACAGCAGAGAGAGCGTGGTTAACAGTCGGCCTGGACTTGGTTCCCTAAAGGAGCACAGAGGGCCGGGAAGTGGAGGAAGTCACCACACACCCCGTCCAGCCCCCCGGGGACCCGCTGGGCCCAGCGGCCGGCACCCGCGTTTCTAACCACACCCCCGTGCCAACCAGCTGCAGCCGCCAGGGGCCAGCTCGGCGCCATGTGCCAGGTGGAGGGACCGGGGGTGGGAGGAAGCCCGGGCGATGGGAGGGCGAGGTTCCTGGAGCCGCTGGGGGGCCCAGCCACGACTCAGAGCTTCCTTCCAACGCCGCGCAGCTGTTCTTAGCTTTGGAGGGCCTGTGCGCCATGCTTCACCTACAATTTTACCACCACCTCCCATAATGAAGCACCAACCGAAGCAGTAAAATCACACGTGGACTACTTACTCCTTAGTCTTGGCGGCCACCTTGCAGAATGGGTCAATAAACTTGAGGTTCTGATCGGCCAGCAGCTGTAATTTAGAAAGAGGAAAAACAATGAGGGGGCAAAAAAGAGCCTTTCTCCTTTCTGATGTGCCCTCGAGAAAGGAACCATTCACGTTTCTCACACAGACTGCATCAGACCAACACGTATCTCACAACACCCGAAACACACTCCGCTGAAGGTCACGGCTGCCATCCAGCCAGCTGGGCATCTCGGCGCAGTGAGCAGAGAGCGCTGCCCCTCCCAGCATTCCCAACACATACTCCTTCCTCCACAGAGGAGTCCTACTCAGACTCTCCCCGACACCAAGGTGAAGGAATTAAAAATCAAATGTTCACCGCAGAACCCTCGTGGAAGAAGAGAGTAAACCCCTGCTCCTAATCCCAATTCAGATCGTCACCGGCGTGCTAAAAATTGTGTATTTCCTTTCTAGCCCTTTGTCTGTTCACAGATGAATATATACTTAAAAAGCCACCCCATTTGCCCAGCTTCGTCTGTGGCCTTTTTTCCCTACTGCTTTTTATTTTTATTTTTTGGCTGCACCTCATGGCTTGCGGGACCTTAGGTCCCCGACCAGGGATGGAACCCGTGCCCCCTGCAGTTGGAGATGCCAAGTCCTAACCACTGGACCACCAGGGAAGTCTCCCTACTGACTTTTTAAAAATAATTAATTAACAAATTTATTTTTGGCCGCGTTGGGTCTTAGTTGCTGCCCGCGGGCTTTCTCTAGTTGCGGTGAGCGGGGGCTGCTCTTCGTTGCGGGGCACGGGCTTCTCATTGCGGTGGCTTCCCTTGTGGAGCACGGGCTCTAGGGGCGCGGGCTTCAGTACTTGTGGCTCGCGGGCTCTAGAGCACAGGCTCAGCAGTTGTGGCGCACGAGCTTAGTTGTTCCACGGCATGTGGGATCTTCCCGGAGCAGGGCTCGAACCCGTGTCCCCTGCATTGGCAGGCGGATCCTTAACCACTGCGCCACCAGGGAAGTCCCCCCTCAATGCTTTTTAAAAACTCGACATCACAAGCATTTCCTCATGTTACAGAAACCTTCGCTGGACTGCATAAGCTGTTCTCAGTTCTGTTGTATAGACTGCCGTGTACACCCTTACTGCATAAATCTTTATCCACATGACCCATCACCTCCTTATGGCACATTCCTAGATGCGCGAAGAACTACGTCAGAAGAAAGGCTGACCCATCCGCGCTGCTACTGTGGCTGGTAACCCTGAGCGCCAGCCAACAGCATTTCCACCCCCAGCTCACAGAACATTCAGGGCAGGGCCAAGGCACTGCCTGTTCGGGGCAGCTGTGGCCACGTTAGACTGCCGCAGGGCGTCTGCCCACTTCTTACCTCTTTCCCTCCCACCTTGGACAGTTCATCCAGATAGATATCAATGAAGTGGAATTTCACTCCGTTCGGAGACTGACTCTCAGGATGTAGGATCTCCTTCATCAAGACGTCCAGGAAAAGCTTGATTCGGCTACAGGAAACAACACACACGGTTCTGTTAACCCCAGCTGCCAACATCCTCTCTTCCCCCAGAGAAATTGGCAACGCTCTCGTGCCCCCCTGCTTAACAAGCAATGCGAGGCGGAAAAAGTTTGACAACCACTGAAACAAGTATAAAATGCTAACTGTCACGTGTGCTCAGATCTGCTGGATTTGAAGTTCTTCACGCGTAAGGATGTTTTGCTCTTGGTACGCAGAGTGGAAGGCGTGGATCAGGCGATTCAAACTTGTTAATTGAAAGACCTGAAACCACACTATTGCCTTCAAAGTTTTAAGGCCCCCAAACGCTAACCCGTATAGTTTACCAACCTTTCTTCCCAGCCGTTTCGCTTCAGAACTTCAAAGGACTGCCTCAGGACCAGACGGATCAGCTGCAGAGACAGACAACTTTCGTTACAAAGAAAGGGAAAGTGAGAAATACTCACCAGCTGAGCAGGATGACGGGTAGAGCCTGCATCCCCAAAGTGAACAAGTTTCCGCAATAATCATATTTAGCTTCTAGAACAAACACTGTTAACTAAGGATGCCCAAACAAAACAGACGGCTCTGAGCGCATCTCCCAATGCGCTCCGCTGGTCGCCTTACCGTGCGCTGCACCAACCAACCCTGGCACGGTCCGCCAGCTGCCGCCCGCCCCCAGCCCCGAGTAAAGGGGCTGTGGCCCCGCCCTCACCATGTGGTACTTGTCCAGACGCAGCCCGTCGATGTCTGGCCACTCCCGGTTCACGGTTTGCCAGAAGGTCTGGATGAACAGGTGCTCTGCAGTGAACAAGAGGCTCTGAACGCTTGGTTTACAGGGTACCATGTTACCACACAGCAAGAAAGTAACGAAGGGAGACAGACTAGGATTGTTTATTCACTCTTCTCAAGAATTCTTGGGCAGCTAGAAAATCTGGTCAGTAACTAAGTATGCTCAATAACTTCTTTTACATTTACATAAAAGCTTATTTTAGTAACAGGAAGGCTGGTAATATCTTAATGTTCAACTCAAATGCTGTCTGGAGAGTGTTTCATTATCCACTGCCAAGCCACGTTTCTGTTAAAAATCAAAAGATTTCCTGAGCCACAGCTACTGGCCCTTTTTCAAAGCCCATCTCTACCTAACAGTCAATCCAAAGCCATTAATTCTGATGAACACTTGGAGGATCCATGTAGAAACTCGGGTTTTTTTTTTTTCATGTTCAGTGTCAGCTGTGTGAGGTCTAACAAAACATTCTATTTTTCTCTTCTGAGCCATGAAATTGGCACTTTTTCACCCCAAACTAAGTTTTTTTTTTTGCTTTACTTCTTTTTGCACAATTCTCTCTTGATATATGAAAAGCTACAGTATACTCCATGTGTAGAGTTTTGGTCCTTACGAGGTCAGCTGAGACCCTGCTAAAATCCAGAGAACCACTGAGGGTTAATAAGGCCAGTGGATGGCTGTGTTCTGAGGAGGGCTGAGCAAAAGAAGCGAATTCTGCTTTCTCTTCCTCTGTAACTTATCAAAGCCTGAATGTCTCAGAAATAATTAATTCCTCCCTTTGTTTATTCTTTTTGGTCAAGAGGGGTTACTTTACAGCCTGTCACCAGTGATGACCTTAAATGGCTCTAGTCTTAAGGAGGATAAGCCATCCTCTACATCCCGAGGTTACTGCAAACACCAGCATATTCACACACAGCCTCTAAGAGTGCTAAAGTAACTCAGGATTTGGAAACTCTGGAGGACTGCTATTTCTTAAAATATTTTTTTGAAATTTCTGAGGTGCCAAATGTGGTGTCCCACAGGACACCTCCTTCGTCACCCTCTCAGTGTGTTTAACAGTTTCCCCATGGGATGGTTTGTCGCCTGACATTTACACACTAGCAGCCCAGGTTCACGTGAAGCTAGCCCATTGGAAAACGGAAACTTTGAAGGAAGGAGAAGAAACAATATTGACTAGATTTCTTAGGCAAGTTACCAAATCTGATGAACAAGGAAGTTTTGAAAGTCATGAAAATATCAGGACTTACGAGCCTCTGAGTTGTTAACAACATGGATGAGTTGGGATATAGTGTTCGCTAGCTCCTCCTGCAAAGGTGGGGTTGGGGAAAAACATCGGGGTTATTACGTGGTACCACTGAGATGACAGCATCACGGCCTGAGGGGAGGGGCGTCTCTAGCTCTTGTTCTCAATGTCACTTCCACTAAGAAGAGTGTATCTGGATATCTGGATTTCATCAAATGTGAAATTCCCAATTTCGACAGACCACTGTGCCAACTCAACATGCCTTTGAGAACTGTCTAAGCCGCACGCTTACATAAGTCATCTCCAGCTATGCGCTCAAATGACCTACAGAAGAAACACACTAGCTGTCAACAAATCCTGGCTGTCAAAATACAACTTGAATTGAGATTCCATCCAAACCCCCAAATAATGGAAACACAGGTGCCAATGAGGGGGAGTGGCCGGCAGGCAGACACCGGGACTGTCATTCCACGAGGCTCCGTGTGGAACCAGGAAGTCCTCTCGTTGGCTTGCTCAGAGACAGGCTGCAAAGGCAGGGTGGTGGGAAAGGTTAAGGGCATCCAATGCCACGGGAAGAGCCCGTCCTGCTGAGCCACACAAGCTCGCTGGGGAGAATTTGGTGTCTTGGTCTATGAAGAAACCTGCCTTGAGGAGTGTCAACAAAATAACTGTTTATGAGTTACAGAAGGAAAGAACAATCCCTGTAGATACTACCTGGACTCAAGTAGTTCTTACGCATTTTAAATGAACTCCCAGACTTGCAAGCGATATTCCCTTTTATCTGTTTTCATCTGTTTTCTTCCTCCACTAAAGCTGTTGGTTACTGTTACTTTGAATGTAACTTAAAAATATTTTGCTCTGCTATCCTACTCAAAACATGTTCAGTGGAATAAAGGCAATAAATCAAAGTGAGTCATTACACAGCTTAGGGGAAGTGGCAAAGCTGCATGGTAAAACCCAGCCGAGTAAAACCTACCCACGATGTGTCAGGGGGCTGCAAACAGCGTTTCCTAAGGCTGACCCTCTACTGCTACAAAGGTAGGCCTGTGTTTACACGTCAGAACAGAGCTCTTAAAGAGCCTAAACCATTTTCTTTGATAGTTTTGGTGGCGGGGCTCGGCGTGCTCAGCAGACAGGGGTCCAGGTGAGCACGCACACCTGTGACAAGTCTCCACTGCCTTTGCGGGTGAGGCCATCACGTCTGGGGCCGCGGCTCACTCTACAAAGACCCTGCCCCCAGCATGGGGGCCGCCCAGTCCCGGGCACCCACTTAGCTGTGGCAGAGGTGGGCCTGGAGCTGGGGTAGCTCACACGATCTTAGACTAGTGCCATGCTGTTTTTGACCACAAATAATAAAAGATATAACAGAAACTTTAAAATAAGTAATGTAAATAAAACCTACCGTGGAACCTATGAAACTGTGACAGAGAAATAATAAATCTAATTTATGTGTCTTCTTTGCTCTTTGAAGAGTTAATTAACCTCACTGCTTGCATCCCTTTCTATATGGACAAGAGGTCAGAAAGTGATCCCTTGAAGCAATGGTCTTCAGTTTGTTTCTGTACATTAGGGATGGATACAGCATAAAATGGGCAGGTCTCTTATCCACCTGTGCCAAAAATCCAGTCATATGACAAAGGGAACTGTAGGTTACCTGTAGAAGGGGTTCATCCTGCACCCACATGCAATAGAAGAGCCCTTTCCATATTTTTAGAAGTTCTTCTTGGCTGAAACCTCCTAGAGGGTAAAACAGCATAAAAATCTTATTTTAGAGTCCAAACATTTCCTTTCTAAGTTTAGAACTGCCACGTAAGCCGTGAAAATAATACTGCATACGTTTTCATTCTTTCACTTGCAAATGTCTTTTTAAATCTGAAGCATACATTTTCTTGCTGTTACAAAACAAACACACATAAATTAGGCAGTTTTATCAGCTATGGGGCAGGGCGGTAGTGGTGGCGTGTTCTTATTATCTGAGGAAAGAAGCAAATGTCATCACAACAAAACATTAACTAATTAAGTGGTCATTTACGAGTTCCCCCAAGTGGCCCTCTGCCTAAAACTAGCACCTCACCCTGCACACCAACATTTTCACTGGTCTTGCAAAGCAAAATTGCAAATCCTACAAAAGATGAGGGATTTGCTGAAGTCCCGTAAAACCAGCCCAAGGAAACTGGCAAAGCTTTGGGATATTTTTGCAAAGATGACCCTTTTAAGGATCGTACGTTCGGCTGTACCTTGATCTCCCTCTCTCCTGGTTACAGTTTTCATTTACTGGGCAAGCGTAGTCTTGTTTTAAGTGGCATCACCCTGGTCAGCCTTGTTCTCACTCATTATTCAAGACCCCCACCTCTGCCTGAACCGCCTATGACGAAGCCACACGTTGCACACAGACTTCTGTCTCCTGCGTGGACCCCAGGTGTCCGGGAACAATTGCTGAGTAACATAAGAACCCACAAAATCAGGTAAGTGTACACCCTTGCAGTTTCCAAGCCTATGGAGAACAAACAGAATCCTCAAGCCTTGATGCCTGTTACAAATGGTCATTGTTAATATTTCACTAGAAGGTACTAGGAAGAATCTTTTGGAGCAGCAAAGGATAAACTAGGTGAACGTAAACAAGTATGTATTTGGAATCAATGTGATTTCAATACTCCAAAGCATAATTAAGTTAAAAGTGACAAAGAGATCCCTTTCGATAGAATGAGGTTTATTTATTTTATTCAGAGTATGTTTTAGAGCTTTGTAGGTATTGATTTCCAAGTTACTAAAGACCTTTCTCATACCAACAATTTCATTATAGTGCATTTTGATTCTTTGTGATGGGCTCTCACTTCACCAGAAACTACAGTAACGTTGGTTTATTAAAGTGCCTTTCCTTTAGGGGTCGGGCAAATGATGTGCCAACTGGTTTCCTCCCCATCTTGTAATAAATAAGCCACAGCTGACTGCACAGCTATAGTGTAAGTGATAATAAGTTCCACCAGCGCAGAGCCAACTGCAGTCACGACCGTAGTAACTTTGTCAAAGTCACCTGTGTTTACAACCAATCGTGTTAAGACTAATGAATTAGTGGATCTGGGCAAGGATCATCAATGGCTGCTAAAACATTAGGTGAAAAAATATCGAGGAGCGTTACAATGGATGAGTCAGACCAACAACACCCAAGCCCATTGATGTCCCACGTGATGCAATGCGAAGAACACAGCATCACTTGTTAAGTATTCTCTCAAAAACGAAAAAGCTAATCTACACCACTTCAAATCTTAACTATTAATACCAGTTTGCAGGAAATACAGGGGTCAGAGGAACATGTCAAATGAGACCATGGGACGCAGCCAGCAAAACCCCAGGTGTCGGAAACTCTATAGGACAAATGACCCGGTTCCTCCAATGAATAAACTGCAAGGGAGAAAAAGGTGGATAAGCCTGCTGGAATTTAAGATCAAACGCAATGGGTGGGTCTTGTCTGGATTCTGATTTGTCATAAAGAATCTATGGAATGATAGGAAAAACTCAACAGATAAGGTGTGATAATGGTGCTGTGGTTAGGTTAGAAGGGTCCCTATCTTAGAGATACACACTGAGGTGTCAGGAGATGAAATGAGATGCTGGGGATTTGCTTCCCAAGAATCTCGTGGGAAGGAGGAAGTGGGCCGATTAGACAACCCGGCCAGGTAATTAATAAATACTGAAGCAAAGTACTGATATTTGAAATTATGTACTTGAAATATTCCTTAATTAAAAGAAGAGAAAAAGAACTGCATGAGATTATCAAAATGTTATCGCGGGCTGTTTTCTTTCTTCTTTTTACTGTTTAGAAAACTCATCATAATGAAACTGGAAAAGCACGACCTCTGATGAAACAGGACTTAAATGACGCCAGTTCCTGCACGAGGCTTGGGACTGGGCATCCTGGTTTTTGCCAAGCAGCTACACGGTCTCCCCCTCCAGGGCTGCCCCCCTTCAAGGCAGGGCTGGGCAGGGCTCACCTACGTGGTGGCAAGCAGCCAGCTGGGCTTATGCCAAAGCAGCAGGAATCCCCTTGCCCACGGGGCTGGCGCGAGAATGGGCTGGTCATCCCACTGCTGGTCTTGTTCAGGCCTTAGGAAAGACTCTTGATCTCTCCCGGGAGACTTGAAGAGAAGACACGGTTTGGACCCTGCCACACGGCTGGGAGCCTGTCTGAGAGTGGAAGCGTCAGGGGGCAGCAGAGCTGTCTGCAGAGAAGCTGGGCTCTGGTGCCATCAGTGGAGCTCCTGCATAAAGCTGTGCTTCGGTTTTTTTCCCCTGAAAACTAGTGTGGCTTGGATATTCTGTCAAGTTCCAACTGAAAAAGAGTCCTAACCAATAAGAACATTTATGGCAAAAAAGTCATATACTATATCAGAGTACACAGCTGAAAGTGGCTTATTCACTGCTTCCCACACCCGGTCCCCACCCTCCCCCCCGCCCCCAGGCATCACCTCTCTCTGCCTGGTGGCATCTTTCCCGTGTGTGTTTACACAACACTCATGTGCGATACAGAAACGCACAGGTGTGTGTGCTCAAGCTCAGAAGCCTTTTCACTTAAAAAGAGCACAGTGTGTATTCATCTCCAGATGGCTTCTCTAAGGGCAGCGGCACGTCAAGCCACCTCTAAGTGATCATGTGAGGCGCTCAAGCATCTCTGGATAACCCACACCTGTACCAGGCAAAGGTGTGCTAGGAGGCACTACAGAGGCCTTTGTGAGGGAAAACGGCAGATTTCGACAAAGTAACAGGTGAGAGCAGATCCTGGACAGCGGGCGGGAAAGGGGCTTGGACGTGAAAGCGTATTCTGACTTTCGTCCTACGTGGAGCAACGAAGTACAGCGGGAACAAAGCACTGGGCAGGCCCTGGTCCGCTCCTTCCCGGCTGTCCCTCCCAGAAAGGCCTTGAGCCTCCTGTTCGTCACCTGTGACACGTGTCAGGTTCATGCTTAGGGTCAAAACTAAGTGTACAAACGAGAAGCACGTTGTAAGAGCAAAGCACTACGCGGTGGGCGGGTATCACTGTGATCGTCCCATGTTCTCTACCCATAGCCTAGTAGAGCGCGTCTCCCTTAAAAAACACCTGTTTCCAACATTTTATATATATATATATATATATATATACATATATATATATATATATATAAATCAATCCCTCATTTTCACCCAGGAATTTAACTGGTAAAAACAAGGTACCAATCTTTGAAGCATGTAAAGCAAAACACAGAAATGCTCATCATCTAATTTCCTTCAAGACCCTGAAGATGAAGTACGACATATCTGAAGCAGTTTGTCCCACAACTGCTTTTGGATTTGTCTTTTCTTCTTGGGGGTTGAGTTTCTTAAACTTAATACAACTAAGTTTCTAACAATAATATGGGTTTACTTGCTTCAGAATGAATGAGGTGAACATGAAAGTGAGACGTGGATACAGCAAGTCCAACAGCTCCTCTCATCACGAATCAGCCCAGGAGGCAGCTTAGACGGTAACACGTGACCCCACACCTGTGTGGAAACAGCCATAGCTCCCCGTTTCTCTAACTACTGAGTTGAGAGACCCCAACCCTGACAGTATGAAGAAACTCTTGTTTCCCTCATTACTGCCATTGGCTCTAAGACACCATCAACTATAAGATGTACTGTTATCTTATGTGCTGCCAAGAGAAAGCAGGAACGCAAACGAAACTGTCACAAGGTTGATTTTAAAATTTATCCCAATTTTGGATGTTAAATGCTTAAAGCTGCAGAATGGATAAAAGAGGCAGAGATGCTTGTCTGTTCTGTTCATTGCTGCACTCCCAGTGCCAAGAGTAGTGCACGAAATAGTAATAGCACAGAGGAGGCGCTCCACACGTTTGCTGAATATATGAACGAATAAACAGGGACGAAATGAGCCCTTGTGAATAAAACCATGGTTATCCTACAACTGTGAGTGATCAACAGGAACACTTAAAGTAGCAGAGCAACACTGAGTTGCTTTAAGTTCTACAAAGATTTTCAATTTGTTTTTGAAATCACGAAGCTCTCTATGTTGCTAACAGACAGCAAGAGTAAAATTTCAGACTGCCTTTACTATGCCGAAGACGACACAGAAAACTTGGGTCTGTCCGTGAGATTCACTGTCAGCCCAAGTTATTTCCAAACTTGTGTTTCTATTCTGACGAGCACAGCTGTGGCAGACAGTTTTATTCTGTCCCATCATCACTGTCTAGACATTCACTTTGCAGTTAGTTTTTGGAAGGCCCGCTACATTCCCTGCAGTGTGGGCGTGGTGGTGAAAAGGAGTACAGGACAAGTAACTCAGGTGGGATGGCGCTAACGAGACCCCCGGCCTCCTCCCCCAGCATCACCTTGGCATTTCGGACCCTGAGCCTGTTCACCAAAGGGGTTTGAGCACCAGGCTCTGTCTGGCTGCCTCAGCCCGAATGTACTGCATCTGGCCCCTCTTCTGTTCCTGTACACAGGAAGGCCCTCGTATGTCTGGATGTGCGCCCACTTCCGGCTAGGAAAACAGACGGAAGCTTACAGTGTTTTGGGGGGAGAATGGCGCATCTACTGATAATGCGAAACAGTGTAGCTAAGTGCCACAACAGAGACATACTGGATATCTCCAAATCCTAGAGGAGCAGGGTGAGGTGACAGGTAAGGAATTTAGGGGCAAGCGATGCTGAACTGAACGCTGGGAGTGGATCAAGGCTGGGAACCTTTTCTGAGTGGACAGGAGAAGCGAAGGCAGAGGTGATAAATGGTGTACAGTACACCAGGAATCAGTGTGGAGCAGTCACATAGGGGCTGAGGTGGGGAGAAGGAGAGGGCAGATCACGGTCCGCAGACCTGGAATTCCAGGAAGGTGGTGATGTGATCCAGCTGTTTTAGGAAGATGAGCCCAGGCTGGTTTGTGGAGCATGGGTTCGAGGGGGGCACAAATGGAGTTGTTAGATCAGCCAGGAAGTAAGCAAGTGCGTAAGTCTAGATGAGATGGAGGGGCCATCTCAGGGCAGAGTAATTCAGGAGAGGAGACAGTGGGTGCAGGGTGCAGGGAGAGGATGAGGAAGAGTAGTCCAGGCCATGCACGTGTCCAGCTGGAGTCTGAGTGGAGGATGGAAACTGGCAACCAAAATAAAAGAGCACGAGAGACTTCCCCGGCAGTCCAGTGGTTAAGACTCCGCCTTCCAATGCAGGGGGTGTGGGTTTGATCCCTGGTCAGGGAACTAAGATTCCGCATGCCGCGCAGTGCGGCCAAAAATTAAAAAGACCACGGGCAGCAGAGAGGCACCAGAAGAGAAGGTTTTGGAGGGAAGAAAATGAGTCACTTTTGGGCATTCTGAGTTTGGGGACATGCAGGTGGAGACGTCAGGTGAGTAGGGCATATCTGAGCTGAAAACAGCAAAGGTCTGGGATAGAAGGTTACGGTTAGGAACCTCTAGCATACATGGGATAAGAATAACTTAAATCTTTCGGGGAGACCCCTAACAGAATCGAAGTCAGAAAGCTTGGCTTCATTCCTCTTTCTAGCAGACTTCCCATGAAACGGTATTTTCTTTTTCCTGGGTAGTCTTTCGTGATTTCTTGTCAAAATAAAACAAACTAAGGATGTCAGTACAGGGATAAATGATATCAATTTTTTCAAATAGACTCAAAGTATTAATGCTAGCAATAAACAAATCAGGTTTTATCTTAGTGCAATAAAAACCTCCACTGCGTACAGCAGTTCATTCCTTCAAGGGTTTACAGATGAGGTAACAAAATCCGTCAATGGCTCCCCACTGAAGTTAAAATCCAAACCACAAAAGCCCCGTGTGACCTGGCCACTGCCTACTTTTCCAACTTCATCTGTTAACACCCTCACCCTCTCTTACTGACCTTCCAGCTCTTCCCTCTCGCCTCCTCTCAGACCTGTTGAACGCCACCCCGAGAGCCCTGTGGAACAGCCTGTATAGAGGAGCTCTCTCTTTCCTTGGTTTTCGTTTTCTTTACCTCACTTATACGAGCTCTGTTTCAGTTATCTATTCCTCCCTGGATTTCCCGGGACAATTTCCTCGAGGGTAGGGTTTCTATCTTCTCTCCTGTAACCCCAGGGCACCTAAAGGTGTTGGTCAAGTGAGGACGTAACTCAATGAAGAGCGCACCAGAAGCAAGCAGGAGAGTCCAATGATCCAACATGGGATCGGACAGAACGGGTCTAATTCTCAGCTTCCCCACTCGCTGTGACTTTCGGCAGACCACCTAACCCTGTCGGCCGCAGTCCCTCAACCGTAGAACCGGACGAGACCCGGCAGGAAGCGGACACAGAAGCACATGCAGGAGCGCGAATCGGTGCCGCACGCCCCCCCCGCTCCGCCGGCGGCTCCCCCGGCCCGGCCCCCCTCCCCGCACGCCCCGGCCCAGCCGGGGCTCCCCAGCCCCCGCCGCCATGTGCGCGGCGGACCGCCGGGCGCCCACCTGTCTCCCTCTGCGTCTTCACGCTGATATACTGGCGCAGCTTCTTCACCGCCCGATCCCGGATGCCCTTCTCGTGGGACGCCAGGCGCTGAGCGAACTGGATCTCGGCCGGCTGCATGGCGGGGGCCATCGCACCCACTGGCGCATCCCCGGCCGCAGCCCTCCGCCGCCGAGCGCCAGCCGCCGTGCTGCCAGGGCCGCGACTGCGCAGAAAGCAGCGGGGCGGGAGGCGGCGCGCGGGTTGATGGCATCACAAAGGCGCCGGACGCCGCTCGCAGCGCGTTCTGAGAGCAAGCGCGGCTGCCTGGGCAGGGGGCGGACCCCCGCAGCTCAGGTTCGCGTCGCGCCTGCCCGGTTCCGCGGTCTCTCGGTCGCCAAAGTTCAGGGCCGTTGACTGCGAGGTTAGCCGGCGTTGGGTGTTGGCCAGGAAGAGATGGATGGCCAGTGTTACGTCATCTAGCATTTTTGCGCCCACTCCACGAAGTCCCCATCCGATCGGCAGCTGTTCCCCGGGATACGCGGCACCGAGTCTTTAATCGCATTGGACTCCTCGGGCCGCCTGGGCGGTGTGGAGGCGGGGGAGAGAGGCCGCCCTTGGGGATTTTGGCGGGATGTTGCGGCAGCTCTTTCTCCGGCCGCCCTAGCGGCGGCCGGGCTTCACCTCTCCGACCGGCGACCGCCAGTGCCCGTGTCCCTGCCGCGAGGATTGGGAGCGTGAGCTTGTGGGTCCGCCCGCGGGCCTGGAGGGCACGCACGCCGGGGACTCGGCGGTGTCGGCTCGCGGCCGGCTTCAGACAGACGAAGTCGTAGTTGTGCGGGAACCGGTACCTTTGAACGCACAGGCTGCGCCTTGTTTTGCGAACTCTGTGGGCGTGTAGGGGCAGGGCAATGGACTGGGTGATGTCTCCCAGTTCATGGTGGTCGTCTCAGTTACGTAGCAGCCGGCTGCACGAAGGCCCCCTACCGGGGCAGACTTCCCGAGCAGCCTGTGGTCGGAAAGCCTCGGCCTTTGCTCATGGATCTTGGGCTGAGCGCGGGTGCCGGGCCAACAGCCGCTGGTTCCATTGAACGCATCGCCCCTTGGTCTGACATCCCCCGCCAAACAGGAGAGGCCTGATTCGATTTATTTCGCAGGACACTTACACGTGGGTCTCACTGTCCTTTTACTTTGCAGTTAACAAGTTTGCAATCCCGGCTAAGCCAGAGGAGCCAACGCGGGATCTTGCCGACCGAGCACCCGGGTTTCCCGCCGAGAACGCTGCCCAATCTCTGCGAGGCCTCAGCCTCGCGGTTCTGCGTGCCCGACTCTCGGCGTGGACGCGTTCCCGCGCTTTCTGACGTTAGGGTCAGAGGGCGCGCCGCCGCGCAGGCGCACTGAGCCGAGGCTGCGGCGGCCATGGGGGAGGCGGGCGGCGCTGAGGAGACCTGCCGGGTCAGTGTGGGCGCTGGGCCGCCCGCCGTCCGCGGGCCTGGGCTGTGGCGCCCTCCGCTCCCCGACGCTGAGCCGCACCGCAGCCCGCCTCGGCCTTGCCATGTGTGCCCGGGAGGGCCCTGGGCGTCGTCTGCGGACAGCATGGCCTGGACCGGGGATGGGGGGCGGCGACCCCAGGCCCAGAAACCGCGCGTGCGGGTCTGGGAGGCTGAGCGGTGGGCGGTGGGCGTGCTCCTGTGCCTCCTGTGTCCCCACCCGCGAGGTCCTGTCGCCGGGTCGGGCTTGTTCGGCCTCACGGTTGCCCGGCTGTCACAGCCGCCGCACGTGGTGGCGCCCGAGCGGGGGTGGGGTGGGGGGGGATGGACTTTGGAGCCGCATCCGGATTCAGATCCTGCTGGTGTCCCCTGGTCCTGGGGTTCCTGAGAGTCACCTAGCCTGCCTGTGCCCCCGTTTCCCAGCGGGACAGCCTTGAGGTCTGTGGTGAACACGAAGCGCGCTGGCCAGCAAGGGGTTTGGCGCACCCAGTAGGAATCCAGTCAGATTCATTTTCCTTGTGATTAGCGTGGCGCTGGCGGAGCGTTAAGAAAAAGTTGCTGGCGTTTCCCTGGGCTTTCAGCAGTAGGGCCTCGTTTGCGCTTTGGAAAAACTGGCTCGTCGCTTGAAGGCTGGGGCTTCACCGCTCTAGCTGTAATGTACATAGTGGAGGGCACGTTAGGTGAGGACGTGCTTTTGAAACAGTTGTGAACCCAGGAGGTGTTAAAGAGAAGGAGGCAAGCTCACTTGGGCTGCTGGTTTTAGTCACCTGAGGACGAGTGTAGTGATCTTAAGGTGTGCTTGTTCTTTTAGCATATGGGAACCAAAGAAGAATTTGTTCAAGTCAGAAAGAAGGACCTGGAACGACTGACAACGGAAGTGATGCAAATACGGGACTTCTTGCCCAGAATACTAAACGGGGAAGTGCTGGAAAGCTTCCAGAAATTAAAGACTGTAGAAAAAAGTGAGTGTTACTTCATCTGTAGCAGTGTCTAATGGTGACAGCAGTCTGTTTCAGCAGGTTTGCCTTCCGTAGCTGTGAAGTGACTATAAATAAACTTTAAGGTACTGTTATAGTCTTTGTGATTACGTTTGGGAGAGTCTGATAAGGCACAAGGGAGGGAGGTGCCCACGATGAGCAACTTGGCTGTGTGCAAATTTGTGTTGGAGGAAAGGGCTGCCAACCTTCTGAGTATCTGCTACCAGCTCTCCTTTCTCCCCCTTTCATCTTTGGCGGAAAAATTTTATGCTTTATCATTTAAGAGCTCTGTTCCAAAAATTAAGTCTTTTTTGTGTCACTTAAGGATCTTGCCGTGCAGCAGCCTTGCAGGGGGTCAGATGTGTCTATAGAGATACTTCTCTCGATGGAGGAACGGGTCAGCTTTAGCCCTGATTTAAGTTGCTAGGACTTGTGCACTCAGATTCTGAGATTTGAGCTCAGCCATTGTGTCAGGTATCAGTCTGGGAGCCCTGCTGAAGCTCTTGGAGCTGTTTCGGATTGATTCAGCACTTGCCTGACTGAGGCCGAGTTACTATCAAATCAGCCTTCAGGGGTTAAGGCTAACTTACCGTTGTGTTTGATTGTTTGCCATCACTGCTTAGCCTCTAGAAGAGGTGTATCTGCGAGGCCCAGGTCATGTCTTTAGCGCTAGTCCAGGCAAGAAGGTGTCTGGACTCAACAGTACAAGTTTCTGGTGTGTGGAAAAGTACCTGGTCAAGGGGCAGCCATGTCCAGTTAGAGGGGAGAATGCTCATGGTTGCCGTGGCTCCCTGCCTGTTTATTCTCTCTTGGAATCCTCAGATCCGCCCTCGGCCCTGTGGTGTGCCCTGCGGTGTGCCCTGCGAGGTGGGCTCCTGCAGGCTGCGTGCCTCTTGCCTCCTTGCTGGCTGCCAAGGGTGCTCACCGATAGAAGGCGTCAGCGGGCAGAAGGAGTGGGGTGTTTCCTCCCGCTTCCTCCACAGCTGTGACTCGCACCCGGGAGCCACCCGCAGCTCTCACTGGGCTCCAGGAGCGCTGTTTCCCCCCCTCGTTCTTTCAGCTGGAGGGCTGCTGCTAGTCCCAGGGTGCCTTACCATCCCTTTTGGGTCTCTGACCCCTGCTGTCCCCCCTGTAAGTAGTCCTTTCCATAAAGGCCACACCAGGGTTCCCTTGTTTCCCGCTGGGACGCTGCCAGGTATGCCCCCGTCACTGGTTACCATAGCTCCAGGTCGTTGTCTTCTTAATTTTCTTAGTCCTGATCTCATGCTCATTTCGGGAAGGAAAGTGCTGATCAGCAGCTGAGTATGTCAGCCTGCTGCGTAGTTGTATTTCTCACTGAAAATTAATGAACTGGCATTCTGAAGAATACTTCAGGGTCTTCTCATGAGTTGGTGAGCGCAAGTCAATTTTTGGAGATTAGTCCTCTGTCAAAATCAGGCTGGTGGTTACAAAAACGAGGCCCACAAATGAGTCCATGGCGACTTGATCAAAGTTAGGCTTTAGGAGATCTTGCCTCACAGCCCTTGGTCTTCCCCAGCCACACCATCACCTCTTTTCCATTGATCTTCTCGGTCTGCTTTGCTGAGTCAGCCTTCTTTGCAGCAGCCTTTCAGCTCGTGGAGGTGCTCGAGGCTCAGGCCTAGGTCCCCTTCTCTCCTCACTCCGTGGCCTCTCTGTGGGCAATCTCTGCACACACATAGCTTTAGTTGCCATCTTGATACCAGTGTCTCATAGGTTTTTATCTAGCCTGACTTCTCCAGGCTCAGGGCCCTGTATCTAACTCCTACTTGGCATTTCTTCTCGCTTGTTTCACATTCATTTCAAATTCTAAGTGTTTGGGGCTTCCCTGGTGACGCAGTGGTTGAGAGTCCGCCTGCCGATGCAGGGGTCACGGGTTCGTGCCCCGGTCCAGGAAGATCCCACATGTCGCGGAGTGACTGGGTCCGTGAGCCGTGGCCGCTGAGCCTGCGCGTCTGGAGCCTGTGCTCCACAACGGGAGAGGCCACAACAGTGAGAGGCCCGTGTACCGCAAAAAAAAAAAAAAAAAAAAAAAAATTCTAAGTGTTTGTCTTAGTGTTATCAGCCTGCAGCCATCAGGAAGGACCTGTATTCTGACAAGGGCAGATTATTGGCTCGTTGCAGTGAGGGAGACCACACACCAGAGGGACTGTGGGCATTTTGCCAACAAAGGAAAGGACAGAGTTGCTGTAGGATTTGAGGCAGGGCCGAGTTTAGGTGGAGTGCACATGGAGCTGTGATTTCATAGGCTCCAGGCAGAGTAGGTCTGTGTGTGAAGGGGTCAGCATCAGGTCTCACTGCAGTGGCCCCAGGTCCTGCTTCGTTGAAAACTACAAAATTTAGGTACATGGTGGCACATCAGGTCTAGAAATCCTTTATTTGAAGCTCTGCAGCTAGCTGGCTATCAAGGCTCTGCTCTGTGTCACAGTGACTGCAACCCTGCAGGCGAGAGTGGATGTTTCCTCCTCCTTACTAGTGTAATTCCAAATAGCACAATTTCTGATAGTCTAGGATTTTAAAGAGTAAACTTTCTCTGAACAAGAAATCAGTAGCCACTGAAAGAAGGGTTCATCATGACACTTTACTCTTGCAGTGTGTCCTTGGGAGAAATGCTGTTTCCTGTTAACTTGGCAGCCAGCTTTCTGTGTCTGTTATCCCAGCCTAGCAAATTGCAGGACAGATTTTCACTTTCTCAGAGCAGGCTAATTTTACTTTCTCACGTCTGACTCATGCTATCCTGCCCCTACCCCACTGGACACCAGGCTTTCCCAGCCTTCCCAGGGCACCACCATCCAGACAGAGACCTGGGATCCTCCTTGTTGCCCACCTCCCCTCTCACCGTTCTCTCCCCTTCCAGCCCCGGCCTGTCTCCCCCGTAAGTCCTGTACGTTTCCCCTCATCGATGCATCCACCACCTCCATCGCCACTGCCTCCACCGAGTCCAGGCCCCTGTCACTGTGCCTGAATCTCTGCTCCTGATAGCATTATCTCATTGCCACTTGCCAGTCCACTTTGTATACTGTAGCCTGAGTAATTTTTAACAATTCAGTCTGATTATGTCATTCCCCTGCTTAAGTCAGTTTTCAGTGGCTTCTCTTTGCTCTTAGGATAAAGACCAAAGAACAAACAAAACCCTGACCCAAACCCCCTACCACCCCAAACCTTAAAACTGTACCGTGGCTTGAAAGGATTTGTACTATTGGACTTAGCCTCCGGCCCAGACTCATTTCCTTATCTGACTGCCTAGACAAGATTTGTCTTCCTGTTGGATGTTGTCATAGCATCCTGTACTTTTCCTTCAGACAGAATGGTTTTAGTCCCATCTTACAGTATAAACTGGTGGAAGGGCAGGGTCTCCCGTTATATTCTCTGTGCCTGGCTGAGTATTTGGTCCTAAGGGACCACCCAGCCTCCCGTCCCTGCGTGCTCTTTTTTTAAATTTGCAGTGGTATCTCGTGAGGCCAGTGTGTGCTGCAGGTCACCGGGTGTATAGGAGGGGAGGGTTGAAGCGGACCGGAGTGCTTGTGGTCGGCTTCACTGTGAACCTTGAACACGAGCTGGCCCTTGAAGACTTCTGCTTCTCTGGTCTGAGGCCTGGCCTAGAAGATGGCCTCCTAAGAGGCATCTTTCACTTAATTTTGGCTCTTGAATTCTTTTTTTTTTTCTTTTTTTGGCTGCACTGCACAGCTTGTGGGATCTTAGTTCCCAGACCAGGGATCGAACCTAGGCCCTTGGCAGTGAAAGTGCGGAGTCCTAACCACTGGGACGCCAGGGAATTCCTTGGCTCTTACCACTCAGGTGACATGAAAGAAAACAAAAATCACCCCCCCCCGCCCCTTTATCTCTTTGTGAGGACTAGGTCTGATGGCCCTTCCTCGGCCTTCCCAAGGGCCTGTCTTCCCAGAGGGATCACATGAGCCATTGCTTTGAAAATGGGTCCCTTAGAGTCAATCCAAGAATCACACGGTGGCAGCAAGAGCTGTTTGACATGTGGGTTCATCCACCCTCTCACTGGCCTGTGGTCCAGGACAGTTCTTGGCTTTGACCAGTATCAGAGTTGCTGTGTGCCTCCCGTCTTAAGCAATGAGAAAGGGCAACGTGGGAGCAGATGCAGGCAGGGAGGAAGGAGAGGGAAGCCACACACCTGACTTTAGGGCAAGTTTCTCTAGGAGAATAGGTGTGGATCTTTGGATGGTTTGGATGGGCTCAGGCTGTACAAGCCAACCAGAGGGCTTAGGGTGGTGTGATGGGTGTCAGGTCGTGAATGGGACTTAATTCTGCCTCTAGCACGGTAACTTAGTTTCTTTTGGGAAACTGGGCAGTAGGTGGTGGAGTTCGGAGTAATCCTACAAGGGTGTTGCCTGAGAATCTTTGGGGAATAGATGAGCATTGAGGGCAGAGGCATGATTTGTTAGAAGGGAAGTGGGACGATGTTTTAGGCTAGGGTAAGGCATGTGTGAAAGTCACAGATGGGAGTGAGCAGGATTGTTCGTGGGTTAATCGGCTAGCTTCTCTGCTTGACCTGTGGAGCAGAGATCGGGGTATAGCAGATGTCAGTAAATGTGAGCAGTTTAAGGAAGGCAGAGTAACCACGGATTATTGTTTTAACTTTGAAAGCAGAGGCTGTTGGAAACTAGCGCATGGAAATGACTTCAAAATAGTGATGAAAATGACATTTTCAGGGGAATGATTTTTGCATCTAAGTTAGGATAGGTTGAGGACTTGGTTGGAAGGGGAAGAAAAATTAACGGTAAAGTGCTCATCAAGGAAGGTCTGGACTTGACGTTAGAGTGTGGACTGTGGCTGCATGGATGGAGTGGACAGGACGTGAGAAGAAATGGTTGGTCTGGTTAGGCTCCGTAGGTGGGCGCAGAGCTCAGCGGGAGGATACGGGGATGCAGGAGTGGTCTGTGCACTGCTGCTGTGGGCCGTCTCCGCTGTTGCCCTGTCTAGAACGAGGACAGCCG